ATCTTTGGGGCTATACCCAGGAGGACTTCAGGCTACCCAAGGCTCAGCGGCCTACTGAGTGTCTGTGGGTCCCCTTGTCCATGGGCACCACCCCAAAGTCTGGGCGCCCTCCATGAGGCAGCACTCCTAGCCTAACTCTGGTCTAGCTTTTGCTCCAGGGGGATCTTGCAATTTTTGCCCCACCATGGGGCAGTCAAAGCCTTGAGCTCAATCCCCAGGACAAAGGGTACCATGATGGGCTCCCCCATGTCAGGGCTGCACTCACCCTACATCAGGATATCTCCCCAGGTTGTTGGCCTCCTCAGCCCCCACACTGACCTGTCCCCCAAATTTTACCTCTGGTACCCCAAGCTCAGCAGCTCCCACCCCACAACCTGAGCACCTGGCTCTGCACCTGTCATGGTGTCCTGGAGGCAGCCCCATCTGGGGGCCAATGCAATTACTCCCATGTTTCCTGGGGAACCTAAGGCAGAGGGGTTCACTTATTGAAAAGATCACAGAGCAGAACTTGAACTCTATACTGGAGACCCTGAAGCCTTGGTTGAGCCTAGAAGCCTCTCCTGTCCAACTCCCACCTCTCCACCTTGTAAGCCCAGTACAGCCTAGCCAGCCTGCCAGGATTCAAGTCTGGTCTGCCACTCACCAGCTTTGTGACCTTGGAGAGTCCCTAACCTCTCTGAACCTCAGTTTCCCCATCTGTAAAATGGAGATGATACAAAGAGAAACTTACTCCTCAGGCTGTTGTGAAGATTAAAGCAATAAATGAATGTGAAGCCACAGCCATGGTTTTGGGGCACACTGTCTTCCTGGGTCAGGGGTAAGGAGTGGGGTGAGGGTTGGAGATGCAAGGTCAGCACATGTATGGAATGGAGGCAAGCTGGTTTGGAGGCCAAGGGCACTAGGCCCAAGCAATGCCATCTGCCCAGTGATGGGCCTCTCCTGTGGCAGTGGCAGCAATCAAACTGTGAAAACCACACATGGCCACAGAGGGATGGCCTGAGCAGAGCCATATGTTCCCCTCCATGCCTGGGCCCTATACCCATCTGCATGACTGTGACCCATGCAGGCCCTAGTCCTGTCCCTAGGTGAGACTCAGCCTCTGACCATCCCCATCTGTTAAATGAGGAGGGAGTTGTGCTGGCCCCCCTGGGCAAGGTATGGCATAAATAAAGGATTCCTCGGAAGGCTGTATTGCCATCCTTATAGGAGGAGAGCAAGGCCAAGAAAGGGAAAAAAACACACACAAAAAAAGGAGGACCCAACTCACTCAAACCACCAAAGGAGCAATAATAGGACAACAGAGTCGGTGGGCCCTAATATGTTTAGTGATAGATGTGACATCACTAGAATGTGTCATTCATTCCTTTTCCACATAATTACTGAATTCCAGTTTGCTAGTTGACAAAACCACAATGCAAAGATCTGGACAGTAGGGGCAATGAAACACTGAGGCCCAGGAGTCAGAATATCAGGTCCTGATGGAGTCTGGGGATGTTGGTCAGGCACAGAGGGCTTCCTGGAGGAAGGGATACAACCAGGAGTCATGGGGACCCAAGAAGTTCTCTTGGTATAATGACAAGTGGGAAAGAGAAAATGTAATAAAAATATAAATTAAAATAGAACATAGAAGCCCAGCCAGCGTGGCTCAGTGGTTGAGCATTAACCTATGAACTAGGAGGCCACCGTTGATCCTGGTCAGGGTACATGCCGGGACTGCAGCCTTAATCCCCAGTAAGGGGCATGCAGGAGGCAGCCGACCAGTGATAAATGACTCTCTCATCAGTGATGTTTCTATTTCTCTCTCACTCTCCCTTCCTCTCTCTGAAATCAATAAAAACATTTAAAAAATAAAGTAGAAGGTAGAACATATTGTGTGTTGGGAGAGAGGAGAGAGGGGGCAGGCGAGAGTGACCTGAGTTTTCTATTATCCTCCCCAGAGGATATTTTTTCCATTGCTTTTCAGAAAGTGGAAGGGAGAGAGAAAGAGAAAAACATTGATTGGTTGCCTCCTGCACGCGCCCGGAGGCATCAAGCCTGCAAGTCAGGAACAGCTCTTGGCAGCAATCAAACCCGGGACCCTTACTCCGCGGGCCAGCGCGCTAACCACTGAGCCAAACCAGCTAGGGCCTTGGGTTGGTTTTCTTGGAGAGGTTTCTCCGGGTGATTCAACTTTCCCCATGCTGCCCGCGGAAGGTTGGAAGACAGGATAAAAAAAAAAGGAAAAGAATCAGACCCGGTGTGCGTCCCAGCTTGGCGTCCCTCGGGGTTCCCAAGGATTCCGGGGTCCCATAACCCGCCAACGCGTCCGCGGCCAGAAGGGCCCCCGGCTGCCTCCCCACACCCGCATCCGGACTCCCAGGCCGCCGGCAGATCCCCGACGCCCGACAGCTCCCACCTGCACCGCCTGGCCGGGCGGGGCTG